TACATCACTTGAGGTCTTGGCAAGATCCGTTTTGAGGACATCATGACCGACTACTCAGCCCAGGCTGGAAAGGGCGGAGGAGTCAGTCATGGATATTTAGAGACTGGAACCAGATTGCCTTTCGAGAACTTTGGCTTTAAAAAGAAGAAGGGCTATGAGTCCATAGTTAGGGTGGGGGCCAAGGTAGAGCTGGAGCTTGGAGAGTTATTTTGTTTGTTTGCTAAGCTGTGAAGGGGACTTAGCTATATTTATATACAATACTGACAAAAATAGACTAAATAGGAGTGGGAGGCAGGACGTAGAGGAAAGATGACCATGCAAGATCCTCGAGAAGCCAGGAGAACAGAGAATTCCTAGCACGGGTGATCGGATGCCCCTCCTGCTGGACCGGGGAGAAAAATGGGGAGTGAGAGCGACAGGGGACTCACCAGGTGGGCGGCAGCTCCAGAAATAATAGCTTTTTTCCTATGCCCTTTTCCTTTAAGAATTGATAAAATGCTATCGATTTATTTTTTTATAGCTCTGGTTTTTGTTTTTGTGGGTTTCTTTTTTTTTCCTGCATAATTGAAAATAAAAGTAACTCAGAGGGAAAGGATCCTGAGATCTATAAATATGGCCAAGGTTCAGGATAGCCATTGTAGGAGAGAAGACAGCGCCAAATAAGAATGTGTAACAGGCCCGACAAGTGAGGAGGCCTGCGGGCCCGGACGATGCCGGATCCCAGAAGCCGGAGGCTGCGTCAGCCGCGCGGTTGGAAGGCTTGCTCTATCTAGCACGTTCGGCAATCTACGTGAAGGAGCAGAGAAGCAGCGTTGGATTTATCTCAGGTCTGAGCTCTGCCTGGCAACCAGCATTCATCTCGCGCTCGGACCGTAGTCCTGATGTTATAAAGCCAGTAATGGCCCTCGCACAGATGAGGAAATCAATGGCTCAGAGAAGGGGCCAGCCCGACAGAGAACTCCGTTTCATTTGGGGAGGGAGACCCCGAATGAAAATCCAGGTCTCTGATTCCCAGCCCAGCGCTCTCTCTGCATCAACACAGCAGCTTCCCGGAACCAACGGGTCCCTGGAATCTTTTAGGTAAATTGTGCAGAGCCCTGGGCTTCGAGGAGCTGGTTAATAAAGGATCCTCCTCGTTACAGAAATGGACACATGCTGTCAATATGATTGAAGAGGCAAAGTTTTACCTTTAGAATGAAAATGGTCCATTAATAGAACTCCTCTTCCTAATGAACCATTTACGGAGTGACAGGTACTATGCCAGTCCTCCAGGATAACGACAAGACAAATCCCCACGCTCATAGCTGAGTCATAACTTAAAAGCCGTATAATTTATTTGACTATGAATCCTAATTAGTATTCAGTTCTTAAAAACAGGAAATTTGTCATCAGTAAATATGAGGTTACATCAAACAGAGTGAAGACCCATTTAAATGTCCTCCTGCTGTCTCCTGTCATTTAAATCTCAGTGCACTACCAAAACAGAAAGGTTCTTACTATGCATTCAGGCTCATCTGTTCATCACCCCACTCTCCAGCTTAAGTAAGAGACTCAAATGTTTTCTCGCTGGAATTTTAGGCATATGGGATGCGTAGGAAAGATTTGGGGCTGGGAAGCAAAGGATATGGGGTGTGACGACAGAGCCTTCTCACTGCCCCGTCAAAGCTCCTAACTCTGGGAAATCAGCTACAGTAGTCTAGGGTTAGCTTAAGGAGAATGTGGAAGGGCTGGAAGTCAGCTTCTCCACCTACCACCACACCACCATCCAGCTGCCCCGCCCAACTCCCACACACTGTGTGTGGATGAGAATAGTATCTTCCTCATAGATTGTTCGAATTAGATGACTGATTATGAAGCTCTTAAAACATAGTATGCACTCAACAGACATCAGCAACCATGAGCGTAACTAGCAGTAGCATCTGCCTAATATTAGTGAGTTTGACAGTTGCACAACTAAATATATTGGAATTACAACTAGGCAAATTTCTATATGCTATTTAATCTATAGGACTAAATTTAAGCTATGATAATGGTCAAACAGAAACCTCTACGTTCTTTAATATATAAGTGTTTGATATTTAGCTACTATGTGGTCTTAAACATATAAACCTCTGTTCGCTACTTAGCTGCCCTTGTGTGTGTGTCTGAATCCAAAGAAACCAGTGCCGCATTCATTAAGGGTGGAGATTCCCACGCTTCATCGAAGGTCTGAGCACATCATACTGCCTTGGAAATCTTTTATCCACTTATCTATGCAGATTGACGTGTCGCTTGTCCCGCTTCCTCTCCTCCTCTTATGTCAAGCACTATTATCCCACAACACTCGATTCTGAAGATTTTACTCTGGGTCACAATCTCGCTCGCCCTTATACTGTGGCTGCATGGAGTCAAAAGGTCTATGTGAAAAATGATATTCAGTGAATTACCAAATAGTAAAGCTACTGGAGGAATTTTTCCTCTTCAATGTTTGTCAATATATGGACACTATCTATATTGCAAAGAGGCACATAAAATATACCTAAGCTTAAGGTATGATTCGAGCACAAGAAAACCTTGAAATGAAGGAGAGGAAGACAAAATTAGGTGATTCAAGAATGTTTTAAGTTCAGGGAACATCAACTGTGCTGCTGCTGTTGCTATTGTTAAGAACGAAAACACACTTTCTTGGTACATTGTCAAGAGACCAGCTGTCAGGAGGCCGACTGTGTTCACCTCTCTGTCTTGATGGCTAGATCATGAGGCTCCAGTACATGGCAAGGACTAGATCATTATTATCTTCATACCTTTCTAGCACTTACCAGGGCCTGGCGAATGTAGGACTGAATGTACTAATTTGGTTATTTAGAATCGATGATATAAAACCTTCCAATGACTTATTCATTCATTTCATTTTCGCTTAGTCTTTGAACTAAAGCTAGATCTCGTTTTACAAA